AAGACTTCTAGTACCATGTGATACCAATATGGTATATATGTATATCAACAGAGCATATGATTTCTACAACTATCTGCGACTATATACTCTACCAAAATATTAAAGGACGCAATAAAAGTATGAGAAAATTACATGCTCGTATTGCAAGCTAAATATTTGCAAAACAACTTGCTCATTTCGTATACTAAGAAGGTATATAGTTGTATGAGGTCGTTCCAACAATTGCCTATAACTATAAAAACTATTAATACACACAATTTATGTCCATCGGCACACAAAAATTCCAGCATTATTGCAACTCATGTTGATATAAATAATTTCATAATAGAATTCGCTTAAAATGCAGCTAAAACAACCAAAACAATGTTCAAACTACCATATGATACCAATATGGCATATAACTATACCAACATGGTATACAGTTTTACTAGTTAATTCCCGACAACTATATGACTATACTACTATTACATAACACACATGCATAAAGAGAAAAATAAAAAAATAGTGTACCACATATTAATATAATAAGGTATTTCAAGATATTGTACTATATTACTATTATTAAAAGAAAATCAAATATTGTACCTTTTAAATGCAGCTAATACAATCAAAAAATAATTCAACTAGCATATGATACAAATATAGTATATAGCTATACTAATAGGGTATATAGTTGGAATGAATTGTATACTAAAATGGTATATTTGTATACTATTTGGGTATACAATACAAATTCGTCTTCTTCTCTGGTTCAACTATATTTCAACCCAAATTTCTAAAATTTACTACAAAATCTCCACCAAATTGACTGAAACTTTAGCTATAACCTCCAATCAACTTTCCAAACTAACCCATATAGGATCGGATCAAAATAATTAAAAACTCAAACAAACCAAGTTATGAGTTTCAAGCTTCAAGGTCCGTGGTATTGAAATCCATATCTTAGATCCTTTAATTGGCACCTGTTTAATGCGGGACTTCAATAGCGTGGCGGAAAGGACAATCTTTTTGTGCGCTGGCTGCTGAGGAGAAAGAGTGGTCAATGTGACTTCAATTTCACATAACATTAACAGTTAGTGACTCAAATTCACAGAACATTCTACAAATGATTGATTAACAAACTATTAAAGCATTACCAGTCAGTCAATCAATGCTCTAGATTGACTATACTGCAAGGTTTAAAAAATATAGATAATATATGAGGTTGGATCAGTGGCGAAGCCACATGGTCATATGGGTGGTCAATTGACCATCTTTCGTCGAAAAATTACAATGTGTATTTACGTAAAATATTACGTTTAGAGTTATATAACACATATTGAACACCTTTGTTTGGTGCATCATGGCTTCTACAATATTTATACATAAGAAAATCCACGTTCAATGTTTAATCAGTATATTGTCCGAGATCAGGTATATTTTGATTTTCCTAACTTAAAAGTATACATTAGTAGCATGTTATTTGCCTATTTTCCGAATTACTTATATGGCTTTTTATGCTCGAATACTTATGTATAGTTATCTTTTCTTTTAGTTAGTGTAAAGAGTTTTTTACTCTATCACCATAGAAGTTCAACTGTTTATCGTTGAATTCAGAGTTCAAGATATTAGCACATTCAAAATTTAAAAATTAATTGTGATATTAAATATTTGAAATATTATCCATAACTTCATTATATCAAACATGGAATACATATTTATTACTTTAATTGTATACATCTTTAACTTGTAACATTATTCTAACATGATTTCGTTAAATTTATTATTAACACTCTCTAACGAAAAAAAGTAGACAAAAAATTTAAAAGAAGAAAAATCGTGTTCTTAATGTCAGGAGAGAAAAAATAGCAAATTCTTTGTTTGCATTCAAAATTCTAAATTTTAGGAGTTTGTACATACATTAAATAAGGAAACTATTTGGGCGCGTAAATAGTATTGATTGCATAGGTAGGAAAAATAAATAGTTTAGGTATGGGTATTTAAGGATAAAT